TTTTCAGCTTGATTCGTCAACTGACTGAAGAAGTTGGTTCAATAATGTGTTGACGATCCACTATTTCTTATACACTCATTGACCCAAGACATGTTCAATTGGAGATAGGTCAGGCGATCGTGGTGGCCAAGGTAAACGGTTGATGCGATGTTGATCCATGAAGGCTAACGATGCTCTGACAACATGAGGTCTGGCATTATCTTCCTGAAAAATCGGGTTTTGGATGGTGTTTAGGTACGGAATAAGATGAGGCTCCACTACTTCCTGAATCTAGCGTCAGGCTGTCATATTGCCTGTGATGAAAATTAGTGGTGATCTGCTGCCATAAGCAATAGCACCCCATACCATAACTCCCACGGTGTGGCGAACCTGATGCTCTCTGTCAAATTGTGGGTCACGTCTTTCACCAGGTCGCCTTCTCACTCTTGGTCGACAATCGTGCGACCCCAGACAGAAGTCTTAACCGGCGGTCTTGTCACTCTGTGGTATCTCTGGGACGTCCAGAACCCCCCGTTCGCTGACCTCGGCCTTCCTGAAACCACGCTCGTTCACACTGCAGAATACTGCGTAAGGATTTGTTGGTCCTCCTAGAAACTTCTCTTATCTATTTTGAGCAATCACAAAAAGGCTTCTCAATTAGCTACACGAAATCTATCATTTAACTGACACCGTAAATGTACGAAAACTGAATGCTTCTTTATCACCAAACAGTACAAGTTATGGAATCCTGATGATTACCATTTCAACGGTAGGGCTAACACCGTCCCGATGCCCTTGTGATTAGCGCCGTCCATCCGGTTTCTAGTTACAGCGTTAGGTGTTATCTTTGTGAGAACATTCCTGACTTTGCATTTTTCTATATTTTACTTCTTATAAACTGAATATGAAATGTAACTAGCGTTGTTGTCATCCTGTTTTCATCCAATAAAGTTCCTGCTATAGTTTCGAACCGAAACCACACTGAGTTTCATTTCTTACACGCAAAAACTTAAAATAAAAACCTGACCATCTGATCACTTGTTCGTGGCAAGATAAAACGATATGTAAGAAATTCTTGAATTCCAATAAACATACGTTTTTGGTCAATCAGATTGAATTGTGAGAAAAACAAGCTTCATCTGTAAACAATATTCGACTTAGATCACCTTATCATTTTACCAAGGGGTGGGGACGATCCGCTTAGGCTGGAATCGACTTAGTTTTTTTATTAGCTACAACAGAAATTCTTTCGCAGGCCTGTATTATCAGTTGTTTATGTAAGATATTTTACTACCAAACATCTCTCTCATATCTTTATTTTGATCATCTTCCAACCGATATCCTTGACATAAATCTAGAAAGCGTATTCGGTGACAGTATCGTCAATTCTCCTTCCGAGCCAACATGCAGACAATTTTCCAGGTGCTCTCTAGTGTAACAGCTAGGCTTTTTGCTCATACTAAATAGCTGTTAACGTAAACAGAGAGGCGTAAATACGAAACTGGCTAGTATATATTCCTGTTTTCTCCTACGCCTTATTCGCCTGTGTGTTTCCGTCGATATTTTTGTTTCGGTAAAGCGCCAAACGTGTAGAATGGAAAAGCTGCATCCAGTGCTGTCACAAAGTCGTAGTTAATGGAGATACTTTGCTCTATTTGTAATGTCAAAGAAAAGAGGAAAGAACTGAACCTCCGCTACGAGTGAAATTATTGGTTATTGGAAAGGTCCACAAAACTATCGTTCCATAACAAATTGATGAACTGAAGTCAGATCTTAAAACCAGTGTGGCTCTATGGTTGTCCACTATGGGACTGTTTCAAGAGTTCTAACAACGAAATTAGTCAAAGATTTCAAAATAAAGCTCTGAAGCGCATGGTCATTTCAAAATATCAATTTTAAATTCATCAACTACAAAAATAAGATTAGGGGTTTTAACCGCTTTGCCCGAAATAACTTTTTTAAGAGTTTTCTTGTTTCCTACCACAGTCAGGGACTCAATCCTTCTCATTTGTTTGACCTTTTACTCTCTCTGCACAATTTTACAAATTTTGAAGGCCTTTTTTATGGGGCCGTTTGTACAAACTATGTACATTCATTACAGAACGAGACCACGTTTATTTTGTGTTATTATCTCGACAAACAAACGATATTTGTCCGCAATTTGAGGGAATTCAGCATAAACATGAAAGAGATAAATGTCGCTAGCCGTAGCCCTTAAAGCATTACAGTTTTCACTAAAAATCATGGGATAGCGTTCCCAATTGCCCAAAAAAAATTTTGGCGGTTCATCGGCCAAATACTATGCTCACCAACGTGCAAGAAACATAACCCTCTTTCTGAGGCAGCCCTGAAAAAATAAATTATTACTACCTGGATTTCTAGATATTACTATACTTCTGCCTGGCCTGTACCCCAGCTTCACGTACGTCACTGACTTTACCGCAATCCTATTCAGGGGTTTATCCTTGAAGCTTTTTCAGAAAGAAGATCGCGAATCGAAATAGTAAAAAGGACGGGATATTATGCCAATACGACAGCTGAAAATTGAGGAAGTCGGAAGGGTGCCTATATGTGTCACCAAACACTATACAGATATACTTTCTCTATTTTATTGACCTTTCCCGGATTTCCGGTAACTGGAAAAGGCATATGAGGTGTATAAGCAATACGAGTACATTGTCGGTTTAGGACCCAAGGCTCATACCCATTGAATATTAAAGTATGCATTTGGCTATATCACTCACCATGATGAAAATATTCTACAGGGTTATTAGGGAAGCTGCTTAAGTCCCTACCCTGTAAGCAAACCAATAACGGATAATTGGTTATTTAAAAATCATCAACCCGCTTTGGAAACCAATAAATATCGAAAGAAAAAACGACAAATATCGATAAAAAATCTCATGAGACCGAATTTTTTATGTTCATCTTACACTTACTCTTAAGAGCTTAACTAATTCCTGAATTTTTGTTCGAAAGATGTCATAAAGTAACTAATATTTAATTTAATTTAAAGCTTATAGAGAGAGGTATTAAATCGCATGGATTATTTAGATTACTTGTATGTATAAGAAATCAGCTAATTATTATGATCGTTTATACAAGTAGTTCGAAAAATTGAATTCGTTATGATATTTTAGAATAACAATAGGGAATCTAAAAATATTAATCGAGAAGTTCTTGGTTTTGATTTAATTTGTTTAGAAGAATTTATTTCATTCAAAACTGATGCAGGGAAGAGTATTACAGTGCTGGGTTTGTTTAGTCTACCTACATACACACATTAGAAACAACTAATAGTTATAAATAATTAATAAAAAAATGTAATGCTATTTTATTTTGAGTTAGGTTACTTCGTTTCTAATTTCATTAAGAAATGCATATGTAATGAATATAATGAATGGTTTAGTATAATTTCAATATGACCAGCTTTTAAAGAAAACCGATAATTATCGGTCTTTATCGAAAAAAAAACAGGATAACTTTTTTTATTGATTTCATCAGAATCGATAATTTCATCCCTTATTCAGCGTAACTATAACTTAACTTATTCCTTAAGCAGAGTAGAGAGAATAATCACCTTTTGCGGCACCGAAAAACGGCTATCATACTATTCTGAAAGAATGATAGACGAGTAATCATCTTATATAAAAGTTTGGCCCGATACTTGAGTCAGAATACCGATTTCCTGCGACCGCGATTTGCTTGTTACATGATTAGTTAAAAAATATCAGTTTTGTATTAATTCATCAAAAATTAATAATCCGACACCCTTTGATCTACATAAAAAGGTTTTTAAACAACGTGTCGTCACAGTGTTTTGACATGTTATGTAAAATATTTTAAATTTTAATGAGTTAGCTTTTTAAAAGGAAAAATTCCACCCGACAGAAACGCCGCATTTCCAACACAATAGCCTAAAAAATTTAATACCGGGAGAGAAGCGAAATCTGATCGTAAAATTCCATTTAAATCACTGCCTCCATGGAAAATATAAAATATCCTTTTAGTATGCTTTTATCTGCCACTCTTGAATATCCTACGTTAAAATTGAAAATTATTGGGATACTAATATTCGTAAATATTGGATTGGAAGGTATTTATATAACCAATGCATGTTTATCTTCGGAAATGAAAACCTTCCCTTAAAATCAAGCCATATAATCTAATTAGATATGAAAAAATTACTCGCATATTTAAGTTCAAAAACATTTAAACCTCACGTATGACACGATTATATATTCAAGCTCATTTCTGCAAAATTATTTTTGAACATTTTTATTTTTCTCTTTAGAATAATACGAAATATGGACAAATTTGTAATCATGAAAAAACAAGAACCTGTTACTTGTCCATGTCCACATTCACCACAAGCAAGCACTAGCAACGTTGATGCAAAAGAACCAGATGAAGCACATGACTCTGACTCATCTTCTGATTCTGTGCTCATGGTATTCATCATTTTAGTTGTAAAATATGCAATAAAGAGATGGTGTAGCTGCTGTTAAAAAACATAGTCTATCAAAAAGCATATCGACAAAATGAACGTAATGCGTAGCCAATCAATTTTGTCAAAAAAAGTATTTTCTATTCCTCTGATAAAATAATTAAACAAAATGAGATTAGAATTGCATCATTTATTGCGGAGCATAATATTGCTATTAACGTTTCTGATCATTTGACTGAACTTGTCAAATCTATTTGTTTATCTGGTATGGAGCCTAGCCAAGTTTCAAAAATGTCTTGTGACAGAACAAAATGTACAGCAATTATTAATAATGTTATAGGAAAGGCAAGCTTTGAACACCTTATTTCAGAGCTGAAAGTTAAAAAATTTTCTTTGATGGTTGATGAATCGACAGATATTTCCTCAGAAAAACATTTAGCCCTAGTAGTTCGATACAATAATAATTTCAAGATAAAAGATGAGTTTCTTGGACTCGTATTAGTCTGCACAAAATCTATATAATGTTATAGTATTTTTTTTTGTAGAAAATAATATTCCTTTTAAAAATAATTTAGTCGGATTTGCAGCTGATGGGGCAAATACAATGATGGGGGCGCATAATTTACTAAAAACACTTTTAGTTAATGACAACCCTGATCTTTATACCATGAAATGTATTTGTCATTCTTTAGCATTATGTGCTTCTTTTGCATGTGAAAAATTGCCAGATGATCCAGAGAAGCTAGTTAAAAGTATTTATTCATATATGTATCGCAGTTATAAAAGACAATCAGAATTGCGTAAATTTCAATCATTTTTTTAATATTAAACCTCATAAGCTGTTGCATGCTTCACAAACAAGATGGCTGTCCTTGATTTCCGCTGTTTCTAGAATCCTTGAACAGTATGATGCTCTTCAGCATTACTTTAGAGTCGAATATATATTACCAACTTTTACGAATTTAAATTTAGAATTCCAGTCAGAAAAACCAAAAATATGTAACATTTACCCCCAAATGTTGAGCGCCTGTAAATTTGTATTAAGTTGTTTCCTAAAACCAGACTACTTAATTAATAAAGATTTAGAATATATTCAATATCATAATCCGGAACATTTTCTTTCAATTGATGAAATTTATTTGGGTCCCAAAGCAGCTGCAGAACTGACTAAACATGGATTAAAAGAAACCGTTAGAAATAATATTAAAACAAAATGTCTGAATTTTTATATTGAGGCAGTTGATCAACTACACAAACGAATTCCTTTCAATTCTCGTGAAACAAAAATTCGTCAGTTGTTACTCACTATATCGAGTCCTCCAATTATCAAAACAACGGAAAGTATAGCACCTTTAGCCTTTTGGTTTCCAAATCTTGTTATTAACGATATTAATACTCTAGACAGAGAATATAAGCATTTAAAATTATCAAATTTTGATTTTTCTTTAGATGAGACTGAATTTTGGAAAGAAGTGTGCAATGCGCAAGGGGTGATAATAGTCTTATTTTTCCAGAGCTTGCAAACTTTGTAAATGTTTTATTTAGATTACCCCACAGTAGCGCAAGTGTGCAAGGATTATTTTTTGAAATCAATTTGAATAAAACAAGAATGCGAAACAAATTAGGCTCCAAAACAATGAGTGGAATCTTACACAGTAAAAGATTAATTTCTCTAAATAATAACAGCTGTTTTAACTTTTCTGTAACTGAAGATATCATTAATCGGCACAATAATAGCATGTATAAATAAATTTTGATATACAGGGTTATCCAAATTAAGTGTCCACCATTAGTAACTTTGTTATTAGTGAAAATACAAAGTTGTTTGAATTAGCAAACTAGTAGCATTTTTAACGCTGGTAAAAATGAGAAATAAAAAAAAACAATTGAGAGTCGTTATTTTGATTTTTTTCAGTAAAATAACATTTTTTTAAATGGAAGCCCCTGTATATTATATTTTTTTCTGTTAAAGCATCAAATTTTAAACAAAAAAGCTCACAATAACTTTTCTCCTAGGTTACAAATTGTTGAAGTTATGGCCTCCAATCTGAAACAATTAAATTGTATCGACAAACTTTATTTTCAACATCAACTTATAATCTTACAAAATACAATAACAATTTTTTTTAAAGAAGATGCTCGAAAACACCACCTTGTTCTTCAATACATTTTTGAGCACGTTTTTCAACTGCTCGAACTGTCTTAAGTATGGTCCTACCATCTATCTGGGTTATCTTTTCCCTAACTGCAGTCTTTAACGCGTCAAGGTTATCGTACCTTCGCTTGTAAATTTGGTTCTTTAAGTAACCCCACAAGAAGTAATCAAGTGGGTTTAGATCTGGTGATCTGGGAGGCCACTGTATTGGGCCATTTGTTCCTATCCACTGATCATTAAAAGTAGTACTTAGAAAATGATAAGTACCTCTGGAGTTGTGGGCAGGTGCGCCATCTTGCTGAAAATGCAGATGATGTCTACTTATAAGATCCAATTCGTCTAAGAAATTAGTCAGAATTTCTGACATAAATTCCACATATCTTTCACCAGTTAGGGTTCCCTCATAAAAGAACGGGCCAACAATTTTTGAACCAATTATACCGCACCAAACGTTGAAACTGAAACGGACTTGTGGGCCTCTTGGATGTACTAACAAAAGATTTTCTCTTGACCAATAATGGTGGTTTTTTCTATTAAACATTCCAGAATTTGAAAAATTTGATTCATCTGTCCATAAAAGGTAACGAAAGTTATTTACATTTTGGCGACAGAAGCTAAGATACCAATGGCAAAAAACAAGTCTTCTCTCTGGATCCCCTGCCAAAAGCGTTTGAACTGGTCGGTACTTATACGGAATAAATTTGTATTTTTTTAAAATCCTTTGAACAGTACCATAACTGAAATTAGAGTCCTTGAGAATATCTGCTATTGAATTCTCACGATAAGCTTCAAAATATCCAATAACTGCAATTTCCGTGGCCTCGCTTATTATGAATTCTTTTTTTGCCCTTGTTTTAGCAAAAACATTTTCGTTGCCCCTAAATTTTCGATAAAGTCTCAGAAAATATCGTTCATACGGTTGAATGCGAGCGGGATATAATTCACTGTAGTATTCTCTTGCTCTCAAGCAGGATTTTCTGCACACTAAATAGCATTCTAACATATCACACTTTTCTTCATGGGAGAACATTTTTCTTTAAATTAATGACACGATAAAGCTTATAAACAAGTATTTACACTAATGTTTGACATTATTTGATTTTATCATTGTTTTCCAAAGCCTTCTAGTTGCGAGTATGTCCAGTTTAACAATTTGTCGCTTATCTTAATGCTGTCAAATCGCGAACGCCATGTTGTTTTCATAGCCGTCTTAATATTATAATACTGCAAATAATTAAAAATATTTATCGTTATTTTGACTTTATTTTTGACTTTAGCGGAAAAGTCATTATGAACTTTTTTGTTTAAAATTTGATGCTTTAACAGAAAAAAATATAATATACAGGGGTTTCCATTTAAAAAAATGTTATTTTACTGAAAAAAATCAAAATAACGACTCTCAATTGTTTTTTTTTATTTCTCATTTTTACCAGCGTTAAAAATGCTACTAGTTTGCTAATTTAAACAACTTTGTATTTTTACTAATAACAAAGTTACCAATGGTGGACACTTAATTTGGATAACCCTGTATATTATTTACTCTATATACTTTAATATCCAGAACTTTATTTTATTTTTGTTTTCAATAAGAACAACGTTGTAGTTGATAATATTTTGTAATAAATCCAAAACCTATGTAAAACATTTTTTATTTCTGTTATTGTATGTATCTTGTCTAAATATACGAAAATACAAAAATCAGGACTTAATTTTAATTTTTTTTCAATAAGAAAAACGTTTTAGTTGATAATATTTTGTAATAAATCCAAAACCTATGTAAAACATTTTTTATTTTTGTTATTGTATGTATTTTGACTAAATATGCGAAAATAAAAAAATCTGGTGATTTTTTGCAAAATCTGGCAACTTTTTGAGTGTCTGATGATTTTCAGTTTTTTAACCTGGCAACATTGCAGTTGTCGTTATGGAGCCTTGGACGGTGGAGCACCGGGTTTTCGCCTATGAGTGACGAAGCCCACTTTCACCTAAACAGCATGGTTAACCAGCAGGATTGTCGTTATTGGGCTAATGAAAATCCGCAACAGTTACACGAAAGACCGCTGCACAGCCCAAAAGTAACGATTTGGTGCGCTGTATCGCAAACTTGCATCATTGGCCCTTACTTCTTCGAAGACGGTAATGGTCGTGATGTTGCCGTGAACTGAGAGCGCTACGTCGACCGCCCACACAGCCCGAGCATCCATGGACGTTATTCGCCCTCTCTTCCCTGGTCGCCTTATTTCCAGGTTTGGCGATGTTCATTATCCTCCTCGGTCCCCAGGTTTATCCATATGCGATTTTTTCTTATGGGGACACCTCAAGGATAGAGTATACGCGAACAAGCTCCGAACTCTGGACGAATTGAAGGGCGAAATTCGCGTGAAAGTCGCCCAAGTTGAGAGAGCGATTTTGGAGAGAGTCTACGCGAACTTCCAAGAACGCCTCCAGCACTGCATCAACGATTTCGGCCACCACATGCCTGATGTGATTTTCCACACTTGACTGTCTCAAATGCTATTTCCTTGTGAACCTGATTCTATCAATAAATTTGTTTTCGAGTAAAAATTAACTATTTTATGATTTTTTTAAAATCGTCTGCCGTCTGCCGCACCCTGTATAAGGCTCTGACTGTATTAGGATTTTTAATTTTATTTGGCAGATTACTAAAAGAATTTAAACACGTGTAAATAGAGATTTTTTTCTGCGGAAGGTAATCCATGTATTGGATAATTAACATTGGCTGTTCGAGTATCATAAGCAGTTTGCACCTCAAGCTCAAATCAATTTTAATTTTTGGAAAAAAGTATATGACATATAATCATGATTTTTTCAGTTTTAAATACTCCCCTGCAAGTTTCATTGTTATTTAGTACCTTTATCAGACGTACTGCTATTTTTTAACACTAATTTTTTTTTAATAAGCCCATTGCCTGCGTTCATTTTGATAAAATATCTGGCGCGGCATAATGCAGGAGAGTGGAAGCAGCAATTTTTTAAGCTTTTAATGCTAATATATGGGGAAATCTATGATGTGTGAAATACGTCTAATAGGTGGGTATAATCCCCAGGGTTGTTAGCGTATAAATATACTAACATCAGAAAATTGAGATATACCCTACAGCCCCCAACTCCAAATTTTTTACTGTCAAATTTTTTTTCGAAAATGATCATGATCCTCTGGAACGTCAAAAAACGGAATTTGAGCGATTTTTTCTTCGACTCCACTAAAGAGATTTTCAAAAACCACAAAGCCTTTTTGTCTTCGGTATAGTAGTAACAATGTGCAAAAATTTCATCAAAATCCGAACGGTGTTTCTTAAGATATAGGATGTTAAAATATTAGCAGACAGACAGACCGACAGACATAGTTTTTTTGATGTAATGTACATAATATCTCATTTCTGAAAATTTATAATAATTGCAACAACTGAAGTGCATATTTTGCACTTTTCAAATGTTGTATCGGTTATATGTCGAAAACTATCAATTTTAGAGAAATGTTGTAAATTAGCATTCTTGTTGATAGCCTCCAAAATACCTAAACAGCCAAGTGACAAAAAAAACACTTTTTCCATTAGATGCAAAGATATTTCCCGGACTAGACAGTCAGACTGACACCCCGACGGAAATAAGTGTCACGTGATACATCAAAAAAACATAATTGCTTATTTTTGAAATTTTTCGCATTACAATATTTCCTCGCCAGTAAAATCAAAAACGAGATACTATTGGTTGTCGATATTTTTAATTTTATCATAAGATATATCCATTTAAATTCTGTTGAAATACTTATTTGCTTCTAACTTCGTTTTATTGGACTATATACCTCTGAGCTAGGATATTATTAATTCAGTAATCTGATATAAGATGGAGTAGGTAAGACTTCGTGGTATAAATTTCCTCCAAAACGCAGCTGACATCCAAGCGTATCTAGCTACATCAGCATATATTCCAGCAACATGGTGAATACTGCATATCAATGACGCCATAATATCCAGCTCAAACAAACCCCTTCCGGTATCGCACACTTCAAAAATTAATACTCAGCTTTTCCCACCTCTCAAAGAAACCAATAAATCTCTCGTGACAATGGCTGCCATTGAACGCTTCAGTGTGTCCGGAACACTCACTTTTTTGTCTACCGGCAACCCTCCGACACTCGACCCCCCCTCTCCATCCCAATCCTGGATGACAACGGACTTATCTCCCATGGTTGCCAGAGTTTGCCACTTATTTAATTTTAGTAATTTCCTGGAGTGAAGGATGAGACCTTCGTAATTCGATTCATTTTTGGTCTAACGCTATTTCTGGGAAAGGCTTGGCAGATCCAGGGGGTCTGGAGTCTGGACACCCCGAAATATAGTAATAATGATAGTA